GCGATTGTTCGGTTATTGATTAAACACTTGAATGCTAGGAACTTCCATCAAGGCTTGAATTACATGCGTGCGGTGGTTAATTTGAAATGCGTTTTGTTAAATTTGCGATGGTTGCTGCGAAACGTTGAAAATACTTGCGTTGCGTGCCGAAAACGCAAAGCGCAAACCATAATTCATATGATGGCTGATCTGCCCATTGAAAGACTGTGTTACAATCAACCTTCTTTCTCTAACACAGGTGTCGACTACTTTGGGCCGTTTCTAGTTCCGATCCGGAGAAGTACGGAAAAGAGGTGGGGCTTTTGTTCACCTGTCTCACCACTAGAGCGGTGAACATTGAAGTGGTCCCTTCTCTCGACACAAGCTCTCGTGTTATGGGCGTGGAGAGGTTTATTGCACGTCGCGATACTCGAATTTTCATCATGTCCGACAACGGCACGAACTTTGTTGGCGCTCAGAAAGAGCTCTTAGCTTGCGTTGAGAGTTGGAACAAGCTCGCACCCGCTGATTTTGTCCAGAAAGGGCACAATTGGAAATTCAATCCACCTAGTGCACCGCACCATGGTGGCTCCTGGGAGAGATTAGTTCGGAGTGTCAAGCGTGTTTTGTATGACACCTTAGGCAACAGAAGAGTAACTTAGGAGGTTCTAAGAACCACACTGTGCCTTGTTGAGCAATCACTCAACGCTAGACCGATAACAGCCGTTAGTTCCAATCCGCTAGATCTAAAGGCGTTGACCGCGAATCATTTCATCCTTGGTCAACATGCAGCGAGTTGTCCGTCGCTAACTTTCGAAGAAAATTTCGACCATAAGAAGCGGTTTGCCAGAGCGCAATCATACGCTAACGCAATATGGTCACGGTGGATGCGGTAATATGTTCCTTCCCTCAATAGGAGGGCAAAGTGGCACAACCAATCAGACGTGAAGTTGAAAGCCGGCCACTTGGTTTGGGTCATAGAACCTGACACTCCACGTGGACATTATCCACTCGCACGTATCCTTAGACTGCACTACGGCACGGACGGATGCGCGAGATCCGCCGACATAAAGACCGCTACGAGCAAACTGACGCGCCCGACCTTAAAATTTGCTCCCGTTCCTCCTTGTTTAGGGGTGGAGGATGTTGCTGCGCAAATGTAAGCGAGATAATAAATGCATATAAAATTGAACCAAAATGTAAATGCATATAGGGACAGTAGACGAGCGTAGACAGGGTGCGTCCCGGCGGGTTCGGCGCCGGTTCGAATCCCGCCTAAGTCATTTCCTTTCTAGAACTCTAATATGCCCCGAACTTGATGGGACGCTCCGTAACCAGGTTCGAACCCCCCCCCCCCCCAAAACCTATTCTTTCCGTTTTTTCGCTGTAATTTGTTTCAGCCTTGATTAAGGCTGACCTTTAAAAGGAGCAATTTGTCTCAAGGACAAATACTGGCCATTGAGCAGCTTGCTTTGAGTTATGCAGATTGTTATGGCCGATGTTACCGATGTTGAAGTATGTAAAAAATTGTTATGTTACAAAATTCCCAGAGCTATTTTACCGAGAAAATGCTCGTTAATTCAATTGTTTGAAATCTGATAGTTTTACGATTCCTGGAGATTGACGCGCACAAATGAATTATAATAGACACTAATGGATTATAATAGAGTCTCATAAGTAAAAACATGAACTTTCCGTAGAATTCTACCCAATTGAGTCAGGGGGAGAAAATACGAATTTTTCACAAGACAATTTAGAATAGAAATTATATCATCTACTTAACAGATTAAATTATCAAAACATTGAATGAAAATGAAAACTAACCTAAATTTGTAGGCCATCAAAGTATGCACTTTTTTCTTGTTTCCATGAATTGCATATTTTATACAAAAAAAAATTTTCAAAGTCAAAACATGCTTGGCGAGGAAATTCTACGGTAGATCTTTCAGAGGGTGAAAATACCATTTATCCTATTTTATTTTCACAGGCTATAAACTTTTTTGCTTCATTGCCATTCGAGCCCCCTCCCAGTAACTTATACACCCCGAAAAAAAACAATTCACTGCTTGGGTGGCTATATAACTTTCTGACTAGCCCGCTCTGGATTGTCATAGAAAATGATCGGTTCTATTAGGATTTTTATTGTCAGTGTCCAGAAAAATCAAAAATAGTAGATTGTTATCTATAAAACTGGATTATAATTTTTTTTATTGTCAACTCAATGAAACTCAAGTGTCAACTCAGTTTAATCAATTCTAATCAATTATAATGGATTAAGAATAACAATTTTTTTCAATTCGTCTGAAATTTTCAAAGATAGTGTAGTGTCTTTACAAATTGACAGTTGTTTTTGGCTTAATAGACGTTCAATTAGAAAATTGCAAAAATTTATTTTGATGATAGAAAAGATAACTGATTTCGTTTTCACCTTTTTCCTTCGCGATTTTGCTTACGATGCATTGGTTTCTCAAATTTTGTTGACCTTTTGCTAAACCCCCTCTTATCCAATTTATTTACCTCCTTGTCCCTTCGCTTATGTCAAGCGTCTTTTCAGACCAACGCCCCCCTCCCTTGTGGTGGGAGTCGCTTACTTAACCCAACGCCTAAACCTTTTTATCCCTACACAGTTTAACCCCCCACGGCAATAATCTCCGGGGGTGGTAAGCAGGGGGAGGGTATAAACTTGAAAGGGGGTGAGAAAGGGGGTGAGTAAGGGGGGGGGGGGGTTGAGATGCGAGGGAAGTATGTCGGGGCTGTGAGCGGAAACAGAATGGTGTGCGTGTGTATTTGGGGAGTAACGTGGTTGGAAGGGTTGGCAGCGTGAATCTTCAAAGAAGTATTTCATTTTAGTTTAAACTTGTAGGTCAAAGTTATTTCAGAAATTTAATACAGTGTCCGATAAATTGGTTAAAAGCTACATTGAGAATTGCAAAAAGTTGGAACAGCCAAAAAAATTAAAAAGAGCAATTAAACTGTTTCAAAAAATGGATCAATTGAGCAATCTCCTCCCATTCTCGCGTGGGGGGAAGGGGGGGGGGGGATAGCTCAATAGGTACTTGAGACATGTTTATAACCACTTGAAAATAGTTTGAATGACATGAAATCATAAACCATATTTTCCAACGACTGTGGAAAGCCAAAATTTACAATATCAAAGCTCAAAAGTTTCATTCAAATAGAAAAAAGAATCAATAAATCAGGCTTAAAAAGCGACTTTTTTCTTTCTTAAAATGACAAAAAGCTTTTGCGTACAATATTAAGGTGCTGCGGAGAACCGTTTTTGCTATTCAGATACAAGGCTAGAGCACCAACCCTGGTAAATCGCTTTCCTCGATGAGGCTATGGTCGCCTATACAAAAATTTGCAAAAAAAAATTCGTAAATTTCAAAAAAAATTTTCAAAATTTTTCTCGATACTCATATAAAAAAACTTCAGTCGGTCAAATGATTGCGTGCTATAAACAAAACATCCATCTACTTTCGTTTGCTGACATCTTTTTGAAGAGTTTATTCGTTTTTGGTGGGGGGGGGGGAGATAGCTCAATTGGTCATTACGGGGGGGGAGGGGAGATTGCTCAATTGATCCCAAAAAACTTGCATTTAAAATCAATTTTTCAGAGAGAAAGTAAGTCTCAACGTTAGCGAAAAATTCTTATACAAAATTTGTTCAAATTTGGCAGACTGCTCTTTTTAAATACTTCTGTATGTTCAAATTGTTTGCAACGTATTATATCAAAGTAACAGCTTAACCAGGTTGCTTTAACAGACTCGGAAAACGGGCAAAATGTAGGTAATTTTTCTTTATAATTAAAAAAGTGCAGACAGACAAAATTAATTTCAAAAAAGCAATTGACCTATTTTTGAAAAATTTTGTACCCAAAAGTTAATTTTTCAAACCGAATTTATGTCTCAAGATTTTTGAATATGCAAAAGATAGCTCTTCTTAATAAATTTTTATTGTCTGTCCGAATATTGCATTTCTCTGTTTACTCGTCGTAAAAAACAATACAAATTATAATTAGTAGCGGAAAAAATGGAGCAGACAGAAATAATTAAAACGAGAAATCTGGCAATTTTTGCAAATTTGAGTTCATAGGTGACCTTGAGACATAGTTTCTGTCTGAACAATTAGATTTTGCATGCAAAAGTTTTCTGAATTAGATCATTTGTTCTCTTTTGAACATAGAGAGTTGCAAAAAGTTCGGACAGACAGAATTAATTAAAAAGAGCAACTGTCTACACATCAACGGAAATTGAAACTGAAATAAACATAATGTCGAAGGTTCATAAAGCAGAGTTTCACTCAAACAAAACCTTTGATTACGGCTGGCAATTACATCCGAAGTGCCGAACAGTAAACCCTTTAGCAGGAAAATTTTTGATCAGGGTGGTTAATGTTTTTCTGCAATTAGTTCCCAAATTTTAAATGCTTTGATCATCTTCACATCCGTGTGTTGTTTAGGGGCAACCTAATAATTTTCTTAAAAAATGACTTTAGATTTCGGCTTTTGAACTAACTTTGCTAACTGGTTTATGGTAAAACCTGGATATTCCTTGCAGTATTTAAAAACTAGGCTAGCTTAATCATCGGATAATCGACGATCTCGCATTTTGAATTTAATCTGACAAAAAATTCAAGGTTGTTAGGCTTCAGATTTTGCATGCAAAAAAACTTCGAAAAGCACAGGTTGCTCATTTTAATTAGTTCTGTCTGTCCGAACTTTTTGCTATTAATTATAGTTTTGTCTGTTGCAACTTTTATCTTTACGGTCGTTTTAGTTTAATTCGATTTTTGATATGGCTTTTACGTGTGCAACTGATTAAAAAATAATTTAATATAATTAGTAGCAAAAAGTTCGGACAGACAAATTAACTATTTTGGAAAAATTTTGCACGCAAAATGTAATTTTTCAGTCCAATTTTGAGTCCCAAGGTTGTCTGAAAGAAAAAATTGCATGCAAAAATCTGTCAAAATGGTACGATGCTCTTTTAAATTAATTCTGTCTGTCCGAACTTTTTGCAACTCTCTATACGTCAACATGAGATAGGTAAGTGTTTTGTTCTACCTCCTTGACCGCAAAGGATATCGTCAACAATTTGGCATTAACTATGTCTCTTTATCCTCCTTACCGCAACTCGCATGAGCTACAGTTTGTCCTGGGGCATAGAAAATATCGCTAACTATATATAAGTTGCAAAAAGTTGCGGTTCTTTTCCGCGAACAAAAGTTTAACTTGTTGAAAAGGGCCAAAGTTGAAGCAAACAGAAATAAATAAGAAGAGTAATTTGCATGTAAATTAGGATTTATAGGGGCTCTTTTTGTTTTTCCTCACCTGTGAACTTCAACTAGTATTTTTTTGTTCGCCATGTCCGATTGTTTAAAAATTGGAATGTGGGCTAATTAAGCTATGATGAATATATTTGGTTTTTATACTTAACCTCAGAAAACCCTCGTTTTCCCATAAAACTGATGCTTATGTGAGCTTGGGGTGGGAGTGGGGTTGGAAGAAACTACGCCAAGATCATTTTAAGGTGACCTTGAGAAATATTTAGCCTAAAAAATTAGCATTAGCTTGCAAAATTTCACTGAAATAGGACATTTGTTCGTTTTAATGTGTTCCAAAATTTTTTGCTACAAACCAATCAAAAGCAATAAAAGCAAAAGTAAGCAAGACTATTTAAAAAAATGTTTTTTTTTCAAATGTAGATACTAATTGGTTAATATAGTAATTTTATGCTTTATGACATGTCAACTTTATGGCCATCTATTTTTGGCAAGTAACCCTCAGATTCTGACTTTCTATTTGATACCATTAAGTTAAAATCAGTTCTAATAAGTCAAATAAGTGATCTAATAAGTCATAAAAAATCAGATAAGATCTGCTTCCTGTTTCCAACAAAACATTCATTTTTTTTGGTTTTAATGATGTATGTTGTCTAATTAATTATGATTTGATAGTTTTGAAAGATTCCGAAATCGCTCAGAAAATAAAAACCCCCCCGGGTTGACCTCCAAAAACCGAAAATGCTTATCTTACAATTCGCTACACCGAAAATGCTTATCTTACAATTCCAAACATCAAATTTATGGAAAAATGCTAATCATACAATTTTTTAACAATTTCAAAAAATCATTGAAAAAAGATTCGAACTAGTTTCTGCGGCTATTTGAACCAAATAAAACAGTCTGGTGATGAAAAAAAACTATGTTCAGTTTTTGGAAAAAAAATGGTTATCATACAGTTTTCATATATGAAAGGGGCTGTAAGGCAAATAGTTAAACTTGATATTTATCGTTTGGGGTAAGGGGTTGGTTGAAAGAGGCAGATCTCTGTTTCAGGCTCTCAATTATTCAAGCTTAACCCGATGACCAGCACTAAAGAAACAGCGGCTAAAAAAGCCTTTGCGATGACGTTAATTGCCTTCATTTTATTTATACTGATCGGGATCCATTCTTTTCAATTGAGTCCGAGAGCAACAGAGCCTAACAGCTGGATTCACAAACCAGAAACTCCCACAGTCTACATCACTCAGTACCAAAACAACCCAAGTGGCAGAAAAAACACAACAGAGAAGAATATTCTAGATGGTTGTTACCACGTGTATTTAGATGTAGGGTCGAATATTGGCGTACAAATTCGAAAGTTATACGAGCCAAAATTGTACGTGGGTGCCAGCATCCTGCCTATTTTCGATGATTACTTCGGCGATGTAGAGGAACGATTGAATCTGAACAAAACCATTTCTGACGGATGGACAGTGTGCGCAGTTGGCTTTGAACCGAACTCTCATCATTCAGAATATCTGAAGCAAATCGAATCATCGTATCAGAAATGCGGCTGGAAAGTTAAAATGATGACTGAGACTGCAGTTTCTGACCGAAATGGGATAACAAAGTTTTACTCTGATATGGCATTTCAAAATTTGGAATGGGGAGGGGGCGTTTTACCTCCTGGAGTAATAAATATAGCTCAGCCAGCTAGCTCCGAATACAAAAACGTGTCTCTTATTCGGTTGAGTGAGTTTATTCGCGACGTCGTCGGAACTCGAAGACTTCCGAGTAACGCCGGAGGCTCGAAACCTCCGAGAGTTGTTATGAAAATGGATATTGAAGGCTCCGAAGTCGACGTTATGAACGATTTAATTTTCAGTGGTGCTTTACAGCATATTAACTTAGCTGCAGTTGAATGGCATGGTCGATTGCAGCAATTATCTGAACGAAAGAGTGTGTCCAATCGGCTGCAACAAGCTCTTCAGCTGTTAAGTTCAGTTTCAGAGGTTATGAGATATTCAGGCCGCCATTTTGCCTTCAAAGTGCTTGACTTAGATGATGAATCTTTCTGGGGCTCTAGATTCGAGATGCCCAAGTGCTAATCGGCTTAACATATAAATTTATTGATTTCGTTAAAATAAATGCAAGTTTTAATTTTTGTACCGTTTCTCACACCTGCTTTTATTTCTGTTGTGTGTGTGTAATTTGTTCACAATGTCCAATGTATTGAAAAATGAGTCGTTTTATTACCTAATAACAAACGCATTTTGTTTTATATTTACAAAAAATTAGTTATATATACAAAAAATTAGTATATACAAAAAGTTTATATCTGGTGGACGGAAACGGTAGAAGAACCAATTCTTTGAATCATGTTAAATATTTCTTGCATTTATTAATATATTTATACCATGGAAAAATCAAAGTTCAAATTCTTCAAAACAATTTTTGCTAGAGGATATTTGAACATCCATGATAACCTCCTGGAAGATTATATTCAGTCAACAAAAACGATCAAACATCATCATTTTTTAAATTCAAATTATCAAAAAGAAAAAACTTTAAATGCGTTCATATTAAATCGACTTGACATTCGACAAAAAGTGATGACAACAAAATGTGCTTAGAGTTATAGAAGAATTATTATGATGCAATTTTTTCTGCAAAATTCAGACAAAAAATATAACCCATAAAAATGCATTAATGGCTAATTTTCGAATTTTTATGGTCTTTATGGTCGGTCTCATGGATTTTTATGGTCCGTCTCCTTAAAATTCTAAAATAATCGGTTATAATGGATTACAAATTGTTTACAAAACAAATAAAAGCACTTTAATCGATTATAATGAATAATGATGGATTATAATATATTATAATGGATTATAATGGACTTTTATAAGTAAAAACATGAGTTTCCGTATAATTCGCCCCCCCCCCCCCCCCCCCAATTGATTTAGAGGGAAAATTCGAATTTTTCACAATAAAGTAGAATAAAATTTATATCGCGTACATAACAGATAAAATTATCAAAACATAATGAAAATGACAATTGGGTGGCTATAACTTTCTGATAGCCTACTCAGGAGTGTCATCGAGTCTTTAAGGATTTTAATTGTCAGATCATCTATAAAACTGGGTTATAATCTTTTTTATTGTCAACTCAATGAAATCCATTTTAATCAATTGTAATCAATTATAATGGAATAGCAAAAACATTTTTTTTCTTTCAATTTGTCGGAAATTTTTTAAAAAGTGTAATATATCTATCTATTTTTTAATTGGCGTTTCACGTGACACGTGTTTAAGAAGTCCCTATGTTGACGTCTTTAAGAAGTCCCTATTTTTGCATGCTTAAGTTTTTTCAACGTATTATTTTTTGCATATTTAAAGAAAATGTTTCAGTACGTTTAAGCTATACCGTAGGTTAAAATGCTTAAGAAATTTCATTTGGCTCAAGTTTAAGTATGTTGGTCTGTTCAAAGGCCAAAAAATTGCAAGATTTGAAATTTTTATAAATACATACGTTCTATACAGTCCTATATAATGGGGTGATGTTAGGGTACATTTAGGGGTTGCAAATCTGGCGTCCAAGTATGACTGCTCAAATCCTTTTATTTTTTAGAATTTTTGTTTGTCTGTTTTCTGAAGACTTGGTTTTGTAGCACGGGAGGTGCGATTGACGCGCTAGTGTTTATACAAAGTGACAGTTGTTTTTGGCTCAACAAATGTTCTATTAGAAACTTTGTTTGACAACGTTTTAGTATCTCAAGGTTTGTTAATCTTTTGTTACACCCCCTCATATCCACTTTATTTCCCTTATTGTCTTCTTCATCCGCTTCTTTTCAGACCAACGCCCCCCCCCCCCCCCCTAGGGCGGATTTCGAACGTGGAGGATGTTTGGCGACAATGTACACAGATATGAACATGTTCATTCGGTTTCTACCTCTGCAAAACGCTGCAAAAAGTCGAGAGAATAAATATATCTTAATTGCAAAAAAAAACAATCTATTTCAATGTGTTTTATGAAAACAAATTGATTATATTGCAAAGAAAATGAACGTCCAGGGAGAGGGCATGCCGTGAAGCGGCAAAAACTCAATTGATTGAGTTTAAATTTGGTCGCAGTTACTAAACAAAACTCTAGTTAAAACTCGTTGTTAACTTTATTTCATTCATACAACAACATTTCATTGAGTACTTAAGTTAAGTCATCACTTCTTACAAGAAGGAGAATGTCATAGTATCTAAATTAGTTCTTCTTTCGAGTCCAGTTTGATTCTAGTTGTTGCTATTTAATTTATATATCTGTCTGGCGCTAACTAGTATTTAACCTTCGGAGTTGTCTGTCACCTTTGGTTGACCGCCATTTCATTGTCTCCGACTAACTTTCTACTTTACGATTACTCAACTTATAGGATCAATTAACTTATCGAAACCGTATTTTCTCATGACGCAGCCAACAGGCCAAAGTGGGGGGAAAAACCACTGGGGATTACATCGTTTTGGTCCTCAACGTTCCCAGAGCCACCAATGCTATGAGAGTTTTGGTTTAAACGATTTCAATGGGGGATGGTGGCTAAACACAGTATCAATCCGAGAAATTTTTACTATGCCAGTTCGTTAACAGCAGCTAAGATTACGGCACTAACGGAGGAGGTAGACGGGAAAGATCGAATGACGTCGGAGCAAACTCTAATCTCGAACTTGTACTTGTGTCTGGGGGAGAAAGGACAAGATGAATTGGATAAGAGGAGGCCACATCTGGATCTATCTCCAACCCGGTATTCTAGGGTATTAGATGCCATAGAAACGGAGTTCAAGAAAGAACGGAGTGAAACCTGTGAAACATTCCAATTATTGGCATGAAAACAACACATTGGAGAATCCTTGGAACAGTTCCATTCAGTTTTAGGATGCAATTTTGGAACGTTGGAGACCTGAATTTTGCGGGATGTATTCATTGTGAACATGAATAATAGAGAGGCACAGAACGAGCTATGCCGATCAACAAAGACACCAGAGGAGGTGTACCGTATTGCGTTGTTATATGAATATGGATGTAAGTATGCTAAATCATATGGATCGGCAACCGGGGGAGCAACAACCAGCGGCACCACCGGTGGAACTGGAGCGTTTCAAATAAAAACGGAACCGGTGGGGACAATCCGAGGAGGATATCGAAAAAATAGACAGCGCTGCCGTGGATCGCTCAGGGGACGAGCAGACATGAGAGGGGGAGCATCTACAAGGTGCTATAATTGTGACCAACCCAATTTTACTCAGGAACATCTCACTAGATGCCCAGCCAAAAATGCGACTTGTAATTTCTGCCGAAAGACGGGACATTACGAGATGACTTGTCGCGGAAAGCGGACTAACCGGGGAAGACCTGCGGTGGGACTAATTCAAAATCAGGAGGATGTGGATGCCAGTGTGATAGGCGACGCTGAGGCTACCTATTCGCAACATGAAAATTCAGTCGGATGGGTTAACACACCGGAAAAGAGGCAACAATCGTGAGATTTGGACAGGTCAGGAGACTATGTTGTAATGGCTATCAAATTGCGGAGGGAAATTGAATTGAAAGTGGCCGTCGCTCAATTACCAATTAAGATAAATGGTAAGCAAACAAACGTTTGGATAGATAGCGGATCACCGAAGTCAATACTCAAAGTTGGAGAGATGAAACGGACGTTGGGCACCGCAGGCGTATACCGAAGGCGCCAGCACCGGAGGACGACGAGTTCAGGGATTACGGGAACAATCCTTTAAGGCTGCTAGGAACGATTAACGTATCCTTGGCGACGAACGGATGGGTGACTGACGCGAACATCAAAGTAATAGGAGGAAACAGGCCGTCGATTATTGGGAAAGATCTAATGCCAAATCTGGGATTGCAGATAGTGCAAAGAGGAGAAGGTGATGTCAGTTCAAGGAGAACAACCGGGGGCTAAAACAACAGGAGGGGAGGATTCATTAGATCCCTGGCAGACTTATTTCAGTAAGCAATTGAACAATCTTTTTCATAGAGTCGGAAAAAATAAGAATTATAAGGTACACGCAGAATTTTTCGAAACGCTAACGCCGATTCAACAAAAAGGACGGAGAGTGCCGATCACATTGCAAGATAATGTTGATAAGGAAATTAGTAAACTTTTTCAGCAAGGGCATATCGAAAAACTGGAAGAATGTTCGGATAAGTACTTTGTCTCTCCAATTGTAATAACAGTGAAAAAGATAGATCAGGAAAATTAGCGCTAGAATCCAGGGAGCTGAACAGACAATTCTTAGAATAAATATCAAATGCCTAATATTGAAGAGCTCATGGATACTGTAGGACAAACGATAAGCGAACGAAAACCAGGGGATGTATACTTTGCTAAATGGGAACAACAAAAAGAACAAGACGATGTTTAGTAGATTAACCAGATGGTTAGATCGTCTTATACCGTTTGATTTTCAAGTGGAGAACAAACCCGGAGCGAAAATTGTTTTCGCAGATTATCTATCGAGGCACCCAAGTTCGGACGCTAAGCCGGCGAGCACATAGTTTGTTTACGGTGGCAAAAATTAGTCAAATTAGATCCGCCCTCGGATTTAAAAAGGAAGCTTTCTCCAAAGGTAGACTCGAGTCTCCGAAGGCTAATCATAATAAACGCGTTTGTAATATATCGAATATCAAACAGCCGGTAGAGGGCGAACGATCATGCGGTGGAAAGTGGACCAATCACAGAGCGACGAATTGCATTTCCGGCAGGTCAATTAAGTCTAGTGAAATTTAATTGGGATTATTTTTTTGACAGTACAAATATTCAACATTCAAAATCTAATTTAACTATGGAACGGAAGATCAGAAAATTATTGGAACGACACCCCAGCATTAGTAGTAGCGATGAAATAGAGGAGATTGACCAGTATATGCAAGCAGTCACCACAGAAGTCCGGAGCACTAAGAGTAACGCCATTATTTCCATTCCTTCGGTTTATCCCGGCGAAAGTTATCCGCCGGTTAATCCTGAAAATCGCGTTATGTCGGTTATTCCGAGAAACTGCAAAGTGGTTAGTAAGCAAACCGCCCTTCCAGAACTGTTCAATCGTCGATTTATCGAAACGCAGTATAGTTCAGATCCTCAACTCCAAGCAATCATTGAAATGATTGAGTGCAAAGACCCAC